ACTTTTGTTTCGCTATTATGCTGGCCAGTGCCAGTTCTCTATGGAGTACTTTCCTCTCGAGATAATTGACTGATTTGTGGAAACCGATTTTTACTCTCGGCCATAGCAAAAAAGGTGAACGTAATCGTGATCTGCACAAAGTATGTCAGCTCACAATTATATCCGTTTCACAAAGCACTCTCTAGTGGTGGTAATTGAATGGATGAATGGTTCGATGGAAACCGACGACATTCATTTTCTCTTTTATCAACTAAGGTTTATCCAAACAATATTCAGTCTTTCTCATCGGATTTCGATGGATTCCATTTTCACCATTCTGAAATTCGATAATCGTTGAAAATTTCGAAAATTGTCAAAAACGAATATTCGATCGATCTGAATCATTGGTGTTTACTAACTATTCATGCGATCATTGTAATTTCCAGTTTTGAAATCGCGGAAGACCCAAAATCAATGGATGATTTTCAGATAACGATCTGTGTTGAACCTATTTTTGGTGAATTTGCTTGAGTTGTTTTTTGATGAAATTCTGCGAATTGCTCGTTGATCACTGATGATCGACATTTACAACAGAAAAATGCGTTCAGGAATGCATCGTAAATGTGGACGTCTTGCAGTTTTCTTAAGCGTTGCATTCGTTTTCGCAATAACGGTCAGTGATGCTCACCTCAACAATTCTTTGTTCTTTACATTAAGCGTTCGCTGCGTTCGATTGCTTTCGAACACAGAAAACTGCCGTGCATTGCACACAGCCACGAGACAGAAACAGTTTCGCGCAAAGAATGGCTGTTTAGGAAAATGAACTCGTATGCCCGTATAATCTCAAGTTCACAAAAACGATATCGGTTATATTCAGCGAAGTCCTCGTTTACTCCTCCGAGATCCCTAAAAGGTATGACGGAGAGTAGCAACTCATCTAACCAACTCAAACTCTACCAAAACTTGCAAAACTTTTCAACAAACAAGTGATTTTTAAATTCAGATGTTGAGGAGCAGCTTTCACTATTACAGTTATATGTTGACGCAAGGTGGAAATCATTTGTTGGATACGTCCTTCGACGGCACAGCAGTTGTTGAAATTGCATCGTTTAATACGTCCATGGCAAAATTGATGGTTGTTGATATCGCATCGAAAGACCCTTTGAATAGGTGAGAGGGTTGCATTTCGGTTGGTTCAAACAAGA